CTTTTGTTCAAGCTGAAAAGACTAGCTAGTGCAGGAACAGAACACATAGCCTAACTGGAACTGGAAAGACTTAAAATCACCAGGGAAATTTTTTCTGAAATGGTGAAACTTCTAAAACATGATTGATAAAGGAGAGTGATATGTGGGCCCTGAATGTTGGAGAAATTTCCAGTCAATTACTGGCTATTATTCCATGTTGGCTATGCTAGTAAAGCAGATAAAAATAAAACTTGTTTTCATTTCATTGTTGTAGAATATATCATATAATGATTCTTGAGTGCTTCTCTTGGGAGTTTACATTGTACAGACCTACAAACACTTGTTTTTCAAGCAGTGATGGTGATGCAGTGTTTTGGTTTTATTAATCAACTACCTGTGAGTTGTGATGTTCAATTTCTTTCTTAGGTTCAAATGCATAGATTTGGATGGAAATGGAATCCTGACAAGGAATGAGATGCAGTTCTTTTATGAGGAGCAGTTGCATAGGATGGAGTGCATGGCTCAAGAGCCTGTGCTTTTTGAAGATATATTATGCCAGATAATTGATATGATTGGACCAGAGGTTTGCCCTTTGCTCTTCTGTAATCTTACTGGTAGTTCCTCTCTCCTTAAATCTATTCGAAGTGCACATGGAAGCATGTTCAAGGAAAACTACATTTTAAGATGCTCTGAAATTTTTGCCACCTTCTTCAGTACCTGTCTCTAACAAATTAGCTACTCCCAATGGGATAGCTTAAGAAAACATGACCAGTTACTAATCTGTTACTCCCTGCACACCACCATCTAGAGATATTTTGGGTTTTTTACTGTTCAACTTTTCTTGCTGCAGGATGAGAGCTATATCACCCTTCGTGACCTCAAAGGTTGTAAACTTTCAGGAAGCGTTTTCAACATCCTTTTCAACCTTAATAAATTTATGGCATTTGAAACCCGTGATCCATTTCTTATTCGTCAGGTAATGTAACTCCTAATTTATGTTCATTGCTCAATATGAAGATTGAACCTAGCATTGCTAATAAAAAAAAGCCTTGATGGCATTGCAATGAAACAGGAGCGTGAGAATCCAACACTAACAGACTGGGATCGCTTTGCGCATAGAGAATATATTAGGCTTTCAATGGAAGAAGATGTTGAAGATGCTTCTAATGGCAGTGCAGAAGTTTGGGATGAATCACTAGAGGCTCCTTTCTGAGTTTAATTAGGTAAGCCACTTCAGTTTTTGTGTTGCTGGTTATGTTTGTTGCGTTGTGCTTTTTATTCTTGTTCCGGCCCCTGCACTTGTGCTGTGGAGTGTGGAGATTTAACAAGGACCTCAATAAATGAAGCATTTTTCTTTCTCATATATTTTTTCAGGGTCTAGTTTTGTGTTTGAATTTCTACTTGATATTTACGAGTTTGCTTTTGCTGAAGGTGCTCGCACAAAAAGCTCCAGCTTCTTCTTCTACAGAGGCCATGAGACACGAAAACAGTAAACTCAAAGGATCATTCTTTTAAGGAGTGTGCAACAGTTTTTACCTTTCTAAAGAGACAGTCCAGGCTTGGCAGGATGGAATGCATTTTTTTCATGTGCCAGCAGGGGACATATTCAAGCTTTTGTGTGCATAATTTGACGAAAACCAAGGGGCATTACACTAGAGCAGTGGTTCATGAAGTTGAACTTCCTGTAAAGGAGAGGTAGTATCCAAGAGTTGATTAATCAAGTCCAGGTTGAGTAGCTCAGAACATTTACTGCATTTTTTATTTATCAATCTGTAAGATATAATCTATGTCCAGGTCTTCTAATTTAGCTGTCGGTTCCTTTGATATGCTTTCTGTACGGTAATCTATTGGGTGCTGGGTAGGCTTCCTTTGTCTTATCAATTTTTGGACTGTCATTTATCTGTGACTATATTCCTAGTTTTTCCACTTCGTGTACACAAAATGTAGCTTTGTGTTTTGTCTTATGAAAAACTTAACTTTCTCAATTGAATCTTTTAGATCGAGAACTTTGAACCCTCAAATGTACCATGTAGTTTCCCTGGCATTTCATAGCACATGAAAATGTGGAACTTGTACTCTACAAGTTGTACACCATCTATCCATCCCCTCAATCCTTTTGGTCAGGCACGTCGTTCGCGATTGATGCGGTGACTGATGACTGCTAATTTCCAGATTATTCTTCTTTCATAGACGTCATGCTAGGAAGTATGTTGGTGGTTAAGATATGTGTGAAGTATAGCGAAGACCTGATTATCAGCAGCGAAGTCAGTAAACCTACAAATCTGACGATGAATAGGATTCTTGATCCTGAAATCAACGAGGATTCTTCGTCGCAGATCTGAGTTGAGTTGGTCGGTCAGAAGTAATATGGATGGAAACATGAGATAATGGAAATTTGATTTGCTACTATAAAAACTCATAAAAGCGTAGTTGTTGAACTTGGCTCAGCAGAATAACCCTATGAGTAGATGTCGAACTAGGCTTGGTAGAATAACTCGGGTTGGGTTAACCAAGATTTTATAACTTCATGAAACTTGTTTAATCTGGCTTTTTTTAGTGATCTGATTGATCAAGACATTTAAACAAGGATGGAACGCTTTATTTTAACATAAAAGACTGGTCTAGACAGTTCTATACATGAAAGTTGATAATCAATATGCAGATTGGCTTGTAACTGCGACCATACTGTGGATCTCGGAGCTCGTTCTTTCAGGGGTCCGTCCGAGGGTTTTTCCTCTTTATTATTAGTTTAATTGCTCGGGACTGCTCTCCCTGAAAAGAGCTCTGTGTACTCTTAGTTTGAGGCTTGAGCCCCGAGCTAGACCTGAAAAAACAAAGACCAATTGAGGAAAATGATTTACGTTATAAGAACTTCCATGTAGTTTAAAGGGATGGTCTAATCATGTGAGAGTAAACCATGTCCCAAGCCCAAGGTTTTCATTCTAAAGTGGAGCTTGTGTTCGAGAAGGTGATGTGCAGGATTCGAAATCTACCAGCTCTACTATTGGAGACGTAGATTTCTTTTTATCTACACTGCTTTTGACCTAATGAAAGAGGTAGACATTAATGAATGGAAAAAATAGGAATTTGAATTTTCTTCTTTTTCTAATGGTGCTAATGAAATTTAAGTCTATTTTTCAAACCTGTTTGGTCATCTATTTATATAGTTTTTGTTGCCTTGCTTTAAAGTAAATCATAAAAAAAAAAAAGGTGTTTGATTAGGATTTAAAAATTTTAAGTAGTGTTTGGTTGTTGTTCCATAATAGAAAAAACGAGTACAATAAAGATAGAAATCAATTTAGTTTTTTTTTTAAAAAAACATAGAAATAAATGTCTCTTTTAACTATTCTAGAGTGAGGTTTATACTTTCAAAAAATAGAAAATACATGGAAGATATGTATTTAGAGATATATTTTTTTATGTTTAAAATATTCATATAAAAAACTTTTAAATTTTAAAATTATCTAACTAAAACATATAAAAATAAAATATTATTATAATTTTAAATTTTAATTTAAAAATCGATCTAAAACATTGAAAGTCTGGTTGATCTATTTTTTTTAAGAGAATAATCAAAATTATGTAATTTTAATGGAACAAAATTTTAAAAGAAAAGGTCAATGAGTTGTGATTAAATCAATCATTTTTTGTTCTTCTTAAAATTAAACTAATCAACTAGGTTGTTTTAAGTTTGATAATTAGAGTTATTACATTATTATTAATTTCAATATTTAATATAAAATAAATTAAAAAAATAATATCTAATTATTTAAAATATATATACAAGTTTGAAAGTATTATATATTAAAAATAAAATATATATTTTTATATTTTATTTTATCTTATCTACCATCAATTAAATAAATACAATCGTTATATCTTACATACAACTATCAAATACAATTTTGTCACTATTTCTTATATTTTAAAATACCTAAACATAGTAAGGATAGTAAATGCTCATAAATTTTAATGATAATATAATCATAACCATATCCAAATAATAATAATAATAAAATCAAATACCATACTATATCCACCACGCATCAAATTCGAATTATGGATTATGAATAACTACATTCAAACCATAGGATTTTGAATATTCATTATCCATTTTTTTAATCTAATAAATAATCTTAAATATTTTTATAATAAATAATTTTAATAAGTTTTGTTAACCATATGCAGACAAAAATATTATTAATATATATATACATTTTACTAATAATAACCAAATAAGTTAAAAT